GGTGCAACCTGCAAGTCCGCTCTGCTGGACAGTGGCCCGTCTAGATGATCCTTTGGGGACTGAACAAACTGTTATTCATCGACTTCCAACAATAATGACATTTTATCTGCTTCGTTGCAGAACTGGCCACGGTTTACATCCAGGAAGGCACTGGTCAGTCACTGGAGCCAAATGCCCTGGAGGACCATGCGAGTAGCGGTATAAAGGGCAGCCGTGCGAGGAGCCGGCACAGCCTCAGCAAGCTCCAGTGAGTGACCCGTCGGTGGCCGTGAGCACAGACCCCAGAGATGAAGACCCTGTTCCTGGCCATCAGCCTCGGCCTCATTGCTGCCCTGCAGGCCCAGGACCTCTCGGCCGCGGACGAGGAGAGTGAGGATGTGAGGCTCAGGCGGGGCAGGGCGGGCCGGAGGGGGCTTGAGGAGAGGCTGAGACTGCTGGTTAGACCCTCATTTTAGGGTCTCTAAACCATAACCCTGAGGGAACGGCCAGACAGAGCAGAAGGTGGGCCCAGGGTGCCAGGGGACCAGGTTGGGAGGATGGGGGTCTGTAAAAGGTGACTTCACCTGTCCCCCAGGAGTGGCGGGTCCTGGGGCCCTGGCTGACTTGCAGGGGCTGGGAGCCAGCATTTGGAGGGTCTGGGGAGGCGCGGGGTCTTTTCTGGCTGGGATGAGGAATTGGGAGATGCTGCATGTCTCTAGCCTTTGGGGAGGGGCAGGTTCCAGAGACTGCAGACTAGGGGAGCGGGAGGCCCTGCAGGGGTCGGTCTGAGCCCTAATGAAGAGGAGCCTTCTCCAGGTGTCAGGGAAGTGGTATGTGAAGGCCGTGACGACCGACAAGGAGATTCCTGGGAAGATGCTGGAGTCCGTGACTCCCTTGACCCTCGCGGCCCTGGAGGGGGGCAACCTGGAAGTCACGGTCGCCACTCTGTGAGTGTCTGGGCCAGGCGGTTGTGACCTGGGCTTCAGCCCAGGGGCCGGGGTGGGGGGGTAGGCAGACCATGCTGGGGGGCCCTTCTCAGCCCCTCCTGGAACACTCGGCACCTGGCAGCTTCAAGGGCAAACTGTGCCACCGAGTGTGTCCCTGGATCAGACCTCGTGGCTGTGAGGGGCGGGGCACTGCCCACCCCGTCCACTGACTGGGGAGCGCCTGCCTGCTGTGCAGGCCGGTCGGGGAAAAGGTGTCTTCCGCCCCGACCAGAGTCGGCACTGGCAGCCTGGGCCTCGCGGACTCTGGGCTTGTAGTAACTGCCTGCTTTGGAGACCACGGGGACGGGCTTTCAGGATGACCCAGAGAGCAGACGAGATACCAGGGAGATACCAGGCAGGCAAAGACCCCTTTGAGATCCCTGTGCGGCTCCCACCTACACAACTCCCCACCTGAGAGGCTCCCACCTGTGTGACGTCACACCTGTACGGTTCACACCTGTGTAGCTCCCACCTGAGTGGTGTAGCAGTGCCTGTGCTCTGGCCCTGGGGCCAACCCTTAGGGAGCCATTGACCTGGAAATGACCCTGATGTTTGCATTTGTTTTTCCCAAAGCCCCCACTTCAGCCTTTCACTGGGCCAGATTATGGTGGATGTGGGACTTGTCCCTGAATGTCTCCAAAAGGAAGAGGGCCAGCAGGAGAGGACACTAGGGGGATGAGGTCCACGAACTGTGGCTTAGGGCGCAGGCCCGTGGCCACAGATGTTGCCTGCAAAGCAGGCGGCCCCGGGTCCCCTCCAGCTCCAGCGAGGGTGGGTTGGGCGGCAGCCCCGGAGCAGTGGCGCAGAGCTCCTGGCCCCTGCGAGAACGCCAGGGCCTCCACGTGTGACCGGAGGGCCCGGCCGGTGCCGGGGCCTGCGATGCGGAGAAGCAGCCTCCTCCGTGCCCCGCCACGGACCTGGGGCGTGCTAGACTTTGCAGGGCGTATTAGCGGGGCTGCTCCCAGGCAGGGGAGGCACAACCAGGACCTCTTTGCCCACGGAGCTTCTGTTTTCCAGGGTAAACGGCCAGTGCGAGGAGGTAAAAATCATCCTGGAGAAAACAGACGAGCCGGGCAAATACTCGGCCTGTGAGTCCTGGAGCCTGAGCTGGACCTTGCCCCACTGGAGGGGGGACGGCAGCTGGCACCTTTTTGGGACAGGCTTTTGACCTGAGAAGCCTTTCACTCCGTTCTGATGCCATTAAAAGCCCACCCTTCCCTTTCCCCAGCAATCTGACTTAAGAATACCAACACCTGACACCAAATGCCAGGTGTGGTGGGTTCGTCCCCGGGAGGGACTGGGCCGCCCAGGGCTTTCCCTGTGGCTACAGCTGTGTCCTGGCAGGGAGTGAGGAGGAGTCATATTTGACTGGCAGTGCTGAGCACCCCAAGCTCCAACCCCTGCAAACCTCACACCCCGAAACCTCCCTGTGACCCACTAGTTTGGGCTGTGACTGCCTCTCGGGGGCACCGCGTCCTTGGGACGTGGGGGCCCAGGCCTGGAGCTCAGGCCTGGTGGGGAACCTGGGTCAGGGAGCTCTGGCCGGCCGGGGGTGTGGAAGCTGCGGGGTGTGCCAGGCCGGGCGCTGGGTGGTCTCCCCGGATCCTTCGTGAAGGCTCAGGTGGCCGATTCAGGCCTGGCGTTGCTGTCCTTCTGCAGTCGGGGGCAAGCACACAGTGTACATCATCAGGTCGTCTGTGAAGGACCACTACATCCTCTACTGTGAGGGCGAGCTGCACGGGACGCAGATCCGAATGGCAAAGCTCGTGGGTGAGTCCCGCCCTCCCGCCCCCCTGCCCTTGCCCCTGCACCCCTCCCCTCAGCAGAAGCCACTGGGACACGAGAACCCACTTGCACTTCCCTCAGGACCGGCTTTCCTGGAGGAAGTCCCGACCCCCGCCCCCGGAGTCCAGCATTAGGGTGTCCTGGTCTAGGTCTCTGCGGGAAGGAGCAGCCGCTGTGGGCACAGGTGCGAAGGTCACAAGTGCCACAGGACGGGGCACCTGCAGTGCCACCCCCGAGCACCACTGCTGTGGGATGTCCGGCAGGGGAGGGGTGGAGGTGTGAAGAGGGGTCCGTGTGGATCCGCGTGGAGAGGAAATTCCAGCTCCTGGGCTTACAGCTGGGACACGGTGGCACCAGCAGACAGGGGCATCGGTGCCATTCCTGTCTGAAGATAAGACCCCCGCGAGGCTCCTGTGCTCTCCCTGGTGCCGGAGTCTGTGGGGGAGAGTAGTGGGACAGGCGTGGTGCCCTGGGGCCCCCGAGGGGAGATGTGTTTCCTCCACGGCTGGGGTCCTGCCGCCCACCCTGCTTCCCTGGCAATGCTGGGGGCTGAGTGGAGAGCGCTGCCTGCTTCTCCTGGTGCTGCTGCTGTGAGAGCCTCAGGGGACATTTCACAGGGCCCTGGTCCCTCAGGGGACATTCACAGCGCTGGTGCCTGCAGTGGGCGAGGTCCTCCTCCCCAGCCCGGCGGCTCCTCAGTCCTCCAGGCTGGATGGAGGCGCCAGCAGCCCCCCAGTGCCGCGGGGCGCGCTCACGGCTCCTCCTGGTCACCTGCAGGCAGAGACACCGGGAACAACCAGGAAGCCTTGGAGGACTTTAAGGAGGTCACGGGGGCCAGAGGACTCAGCTCGGAGCACCTCGTCATCCCCAAGCAGAGCGGTAGGAAGGACACACTTGCTTACCCCTCCCGTGTCCCCACGACGTTTTATGGGAACGCGTTGCCTCTTATTTTGACTTTGTCGTTTTGGGGTCACGGGAAATGCTGGCCGACGGAGGGCCCTGGGGGCTTCTGAACCCGGTGTGTTTCCTTCTTTCTGCAGAAACCTGTTCTCCAGGCAGCGATTAGGTAAGAGAACAGTTTTAGAGGATACTTGGGAAAATCCGAGTCTTGGGGCTCAGTGGCACTTCAAGAGGCCATGTGGTCTCTCTCACCACCCCTGTCCCCACCTGGGCCGGCGGGCGTGCGCTCTGCCCCCGAGCGAAGCCGTCTGATCCCTGTCTGGGGTGCAGCTCGTGGGCAGCTGGGAAACCCTCCGTGGCAAACACTCCTTTGGCTGGGCTGCTGGTGGGGGACAACGTCTATTCCCCCAGGTCCCCCAAGGTGCCTACGGCAGGTGTGAGACTCAGATCCCTCCTCAGCACCCCCTCACCCTTCAGCAGTCACTGTGACCCCGTTTAGCCGATGAGTTGCTTAAAAGGTTCAGAAAGGTGGCGGGCGTGCCGCAGTGACTCAGGCTTCCTGGGTCCCGCACGGCGGCTTGTCATTTGGGAACTGGAGGCTCAGAGACTTGCCCAAGGTCACCTGCCCAGGTGTGGGCAGAGCCAGAATCCAGAACAGCATTGGGTCCTTCCCTCGCCCTCCCGCTGGCCTGAAGGCACCTGTCACCTCTTCACATGCCGGGTGACTTTGTGGGCAGCCTGCGGAAGGACCCTGCTCCGTCTGCTCTGAGCTGGTGGCTGCAGCCCCCGAGAGCCCAGCCTGTGTCTCCACCCTGTGCCCCCTGCCCTCATGTGCCCCCACCCTGTGTCCCCCTGCCCCCATGTGCCCCCACTCTGCAGCCTCCCACCCCCATGTCCTGTCCTCACTGACCCCTCAACTCCTTTCCAGGTCAGGGGACACCTTGGCTCCCCAGCACCAGGGCAGCACCACCCAGCTCCTGTGTCCTGCACAGGGACATGGGAGGAGTCCCCGGAGCCTGGCCAGCTGCACCCCCTCCTCTCACTCCCTCTTCCCCCTCGTAGCCCCTCCCCTTGTTCTGCATAAAGAGCTTCAGCAGTCCCCAGTGACTCTGCCTGTCTGTGGGGCCCCTGGGGTGGGCTGCCCTGGGAGCTCCCTCGGGGGTCTGCTGGGAGGGGGGAGGGGGTGGGGAGCACCAGGGGACCCAGCCTTGTCCTGGTTCTCTGTAGTGGGTGCCACAGGCCAAGGGGCATGAAGGCCTGGGCAGAGGGTGGGTGCAGGCAACTCCGCCCAAGGGTCCCGTGGTGCTTTCTGCAGGTCTGCACCCCACGGAGCTCCAGCTCTGGGTGGCAGGTGCAGTGGGGACAAGGCAATGGCCATGGTGCTGCACCAGTAAGACCTGGCAGGCCAGGGGCAGAGTGGAGCTTCTGCTCTAGGTGGAGATTGGACAGGGTCACCTGAGCCCTTGGCACTGACCCTGCGTCTGAGCAGGCTGGACATGGTGTGGGGCGTGGGGACACAGCGGCGCAGGGCAGGGCATGGCCAGGCTTGAGCTCACCAGGGAGGCCAGCCCTGTCCTCAGGTGTGGGCACCTGAACTGCCCCAGGGGCCTGGCTGGAAGCTGTCCTTGTCTGTGCCTGGCCAGGTTTGGGAAAGCGAGTTAGCAGCTGGGGGACAAGCCCCCCGCAGGCGTCAGACACCTTTCCTGCATCCTGGTGGTTTACGAGATTTAAAGGCTCCTTTGATGGTGTGACACAGCGCAGTGGCCCGGGGAGATGAGAAGCAGGGCTCTTTGTCACTCGCGCTCCAAGGGAGACAGCAGGCTCCAGGCGGCCACGCGGGGTGGCTGCACCGGGACAGGCAGCAGCCGGCAGGACCTCGGGGGCAGCCTGTGGGGCTGGGTGCTCAGGCTCCCCGTGGGCTGGCTAATTTGAATAATTTGGGGGCTCTGGGGCATAGGGGCTGTCCCTAATAGTCTGGCCCTGGCCCAGGGACAGTTAGGGCTGGTGTCTAGGGCCCCAGAGTGTGAGGGTCTGATAAGGGCAGTGACTGGGGTGTGAACTGATCAGCTGCTCAGGAAGGGGCCTCTAGCCAGCACCTCAAAGCTGGGACAAGACAGCATTTTTTTAAAAAACTCTACTGCACTTGGGCTCCGCCTTCCGTATCTCAAGAATGAGTCTTGGTTCTTACTAGGTATCTGAGGTTCTTCCTCATAGCAGGAGCTACCAATGCCCAGCTCCATCTCCCGTCAGCCGGGCTCCAGGGTCACCTGCGGCTGGTGGACGTGGCCATGCAGGCGGGCACGCCCAATCTCAGGTGCCCGAGTGTCTCTGCCCACTCTTCTAGACACCACACAGATCAGTGCTGAGAGCCCAGGGGCGCAGCTGTAGCTCAGAGAGTGCGACATACCCCACACAACCGCCATGGGGAAGCAGTCCACGTCTGCAGGGCCAGCGTCAGAGCCCAGGCCTCGGCGACAGTCTGGGCAATTGTGCAGAGAGGAAAGGATGATGGGGTGTCAGTGATGGAAGAAGACAGACACACAAACTGGGACACCCCCAGACAGGAGCAGCCCACCCCGTGTGGGGAGATACTGAGGACTCACAGGTGGACGGCAGGGGTCTTGGAAAAGGGAGTTTGCAAGGAGCAGAAGAAGGCCCTGGGGGGGAAGGCGTGCGGCTTGGAAGAGGAGGCGTCCCTCGGAGCGCCGGTGGTGAAGGAAGAGAAGCTAACGAGGGGCCGTCGCGGAAGCGCTGCTGAAAGGTTGGAGGAGGCCACCAACCCCAACGCCACCATTTACTCAAATTCCATCTTGGCGTTTTAGCTGTGCCTCCTCGAATTATTTTAAAGGTGGCTTTCTAGGGATTACGATGACAGCCTTAACGTCACAGTCTATTTGGAACCAGTATTGTGCCACTTTACTTAAAATGTAAAGACCCCGCAGCCGTATGGGTCGAGTCTTCCTCTGCCCCACTTCATGGTTAGTGCTGACTCACGCATCGCACCTGCTCATGTCACAGACAACGTAACGCTACAAACCTGCTCCAAGCTGTCACGTAGACAATAAAGGAATCAAGAAGGGAAATTCGTGTTTTGTATTTACACATAAACCTACCGTTTCTGACACTCTTTGGCTCTTCCTGCGGGTCCTAGTGTCCATCGCGTGTCACCTCCCTTCAGCCTGAATAACGTCTCGCAGCATTTCTTGCGCCGTGGGCCTGGTGCCCGCGAGTTCTTTCCGTTTTCTTTCGTCTGAATAGGTTTCTCTTTGCGTTTACTCTTGGAGGATACTTTCAACAGATACAGACTTCTCGATAGACAGATATTGTCTTTTAGCACTTTGAAAGTGTCATTCCACTATCTTTGGGCCATGTGGCTTCTGCGGCGATGTCCATGCTTAGTCAATTCATTGTTCCGCTGTATGTCACGTGTCCTTTTTCTCTGGTTGCTTTCAAGTTTTGTCATTAAATTTGGTTTTTGGCACTTTGACTTTGATGGACCTAGTATCATTTTCTTTCTGTTTATCCTGCATAGGGTTTTCCAAGTCTTTTGTATCTATGATCTCATAAAATTTGGTACATTTCCATCCATTACTGTCTCAAACGTTTCTTCTGCCCCCAGCTGAGCTCCTCCACTCCTTCCAGGACTCAGTTACACACGTTAGGTCTTCCATGTTGCCTTACAGGCATCTGAGGCTCTTCTGTTTTCAATATTTTTTCTCTTTATTCATAAGAATGGATTGTTTCTATTAATATAGAATCTTTTCAGGATCTTCTCAATTTGGGGGATAGCCCTACCCAGTGAATTTTTATGTCATGTGTTATAATTTTTGGTTTTAGAATTTCCATTTGGTTGATGTTTACGGTTCCTATTTCTCCACTGAGATGTGTCTTTTCATTCAGTAAGAGAATATTGTCCTCTGCATGCTTAAGTGTTGCTATGAAAGCTACTTCTAATACCTGTATTGTCTCAGCATCAGTCCTTTCTCTTAAGAATCGTCATATTTTCCTGTTTCTTCATATGTTTGGTAATTTCAGATTATATCCTGAACCTTGTGAATGATGTATAAACTCTGGATTTTGTTAAGTTCCTTTGAAGAGTGTTGGGTTTTTTTTTCCAAGCAGGAAGCTAACGTGACTGAGCTCAGACTGTGAGCTCCGCCCCGCTGTGGTGAGCCGAAGTTCAGCTCACATCTCAGCCAGTTCTTTCACCTTGGCTGGGCGGCTTGGTGTCCTCCCCGCTCATTCATGTCTTGGATTAGCCTGAGATTTGCACAGTTGGTGACAGAACTCGGGGCTCCTCCTGTCTGGCTCTCTTCTCTCTCCACATCCCAGCCGCTCTCCTTGCGCTGGACTCTGTCCTCTGGTTCTCGAGCCAGCCGGACTGCAGGGTTCCTGTCAGAGCTGCACCTCCTTCGTGCGGTGGAGACGGGGCCTGTGTCCAGACGAAAGCAGCGAGAATGGGGACGCCATTCGGGGCCATCACCTCCTTCCAAGCACTGCCCTATGGGCTGTGAGCCTCAGTTGCTCTTCGGTTCCTCTGGAGAGTGGTTTTTAGATTCTTTCCACAGTCAATAATCGCTACTGAGGGCGGCTTGGTCAGATGGGAGCTACGGGCCAAGGTGGGAAGGGAACGCACCACCACTTGGTAAAGGAAACACACTTTGGTCCCAACAGAAGGGGGCGTGCTGGGACTGAGAAATGGCCCAAGTCGTCCGCGGCTTCTACCCGGTCACTGGGTGCTGTGCATCCCAGGAAATCCGACCCGGTTCATCTGGACTAGAAACGGGACCATCCTGGGCATAGTCACCACGAAGAGAAAACAACGTGAGTGTCTGAGGAGGGGTTCCCTAGACCCCACACAGAGCACCCTCAGAGTGTCCTCCCCCACCAGTCTGGCCTGCAGTTGGCTGAGGGCTACTCCCAGGGACGTGGCGAACCTGCGATCCCAGTCTGCCTGCGTGTGGTCTGGGCACCGCGTGCAGCCAGAGAAAACCTGCAAGCAAGGAGTCAGGGTGCGTGGTCAGGAGCTGCCTATCACACAGGGAGGACGAACCTGGGGGGACAGGGGTAGAAGCCTCCGTCGCCATCTGTCCTCTATCTGTCAGGCTGCTCAGATACGCACAGCAGGTAACTGTCACTAAAGCTTCATGGTCTTGGCCACTGCGG